CAAAGTGCTGGGAATACAGGTATGACCCACCTCACCCAGCCACTACAGATATTTTTAAATTCCCTAAGCAGCTAATATGATAAAATAGTAGACAGATTCATATAATATACAACAGACTACATCTACAAAATAATAATTTTACACACTAATTCCTTTTAAAATAGGAATGCTTGAATTTCTGTAAATTAAATGAGTACATATATGTGTACTCCACCACATACTCATAGAGATTAGAGAGTCTTCTATAAACAAAGCATAATATACGTGTTTCATGACAGACGATTACTTCCAGGATTTTTGCTTATTTAAACTTGTTCTCAGTCATATAATAGAGAGTTGCAGGCCAGGTGTAGTGGCTCAGGCCTGTAATCCCAGCACTTTGGGAGGCCAAGGCAGGCAGATCACTTGAGGTCAGGAGTTCGAGACTAGCCTGGTCAACATGGCAAAAGTCCCTCTCTACTAAAAAGACAAAAATTACCTGGGCATGGTGGTGGGCACCTGTAATCCCCGCTACTTGGGAGGCTGAGGCAGGAGAATCGCTTGAACCTGGGAGGCGGAGGTTGCAGTGAGCCGAGATTGTGCCACTGCACTCCAGCCTGGACAACAGAGCGAGAATTCGTCTCAAAAAAAAAAAAGAGTTGCAGTTGCAAGACAAGTGACCTCTCGATTAGCAACTTAAAATTCTATTTTGCAGTCTGACTCTTGAGACAATGTAGTATATTTACCATATTTTTAGTGGAAATAACCTAAATTCAAATTCTGCCACTTACTAGTCTGAGATTGGGCAATTTCCAATGTACCTGAACCTTGGTTCCTTCATCCGTTAAAATGGAATACAAGTAGTACTGATCCCACGGGATCGTTATGAGGATTAAATGATGTATATGTAAACAGCCTACTATGGGGACTGATAGTAGGTACTCATTTACTAATATTAATAACTTGTGTTCACTCCCCGCTGGTGTGGTGTAATGTTTGCAGAAGTTTTTGCAGTTTTGAGTATAAAATCTGAGACTGGGAGGTGATCCCCTTTGGCCTTTCATGTGCCCTTGCTAATTGTACAGATCCCGTCCCATCCCTTCCCCCAAATATACACCCCAATGATAAGTAGAGCTCTATCTCCTTTCCAAAAGCTCCAGATAACATCAGAGCCTCTATATTGAATAATTTGTCTGATTCTGAGAAGGGGGTTCAGTAGATCTCGGGCCTAGGTTCGTGTTCTGCCCCTAATTTGACCACGTGATCTTGGACAGGTTACTTAATTTCTTCAGTGAGTCTTGGGTGTTCTCAGTCGTAAAAATAATGCAGCTTCAACCACTCCCAATGTCCCTTCAGATTTTAGATTGGGAAGAAACTGTCCACGCACCACAGACATTAAAAGCGACTGGAAACCCCTAAATACTCTCCCCAAACCCATTTCAAACGTCACTGCTTCCGATTTCTGGACTTCTTGGAATTTCGTACAAATCTCAAGGGTTCACGCTGGCCCCTGCGCCCTCACGCGGCTAGGACCTCACATCCTACGTCGCGGGCGTCCTACCCTCTCTGGAGCTGTGTCCAGATCCCCTTCCCAAGAGCGCTGTAGTAAGGACTGAATGAAATAACGGCGGCGCCTGACAGAGCTCAGCACAAGGTAAGTGCTCAAGAGATGTTGGCTAATATCAGCAGTCAACGGACCCCGCGCCCTCCTTGAGCCTCGGTTTCCTCAAGGATGTAATGAGGACGGGCAGAGACCATGCTCAAAGCCCCCGGCAGCGGGCGGAGGGTCCCTGGGCGGGCCTAAGGGGCGCACGCTGCAGGAGGCAGGTCAGCCCCGGAAGCCCGGCGGCCCTAAGAGTCCCTCGTGTAGCCCAGCGCCGAGATGCGTCCTCTCACCTCCCGGGCTCAGCAGCAGCTTCAGTGCCTCCAAAATCCGATCCAGACCGCACGTCTCCTGAGCCCCGCTGCCCACAGCCTGCCCCGGGGCCGCCATGACTGGAGTGTCACGCGACGCTCCTGACGCGCTCAGGCGCCTCGGCAGGCCGCCGCCGCCGCCATGTTGAATGTGGCAGAAGGCGATGGGCACACTATGGGGCGGGGCCCGCAGGGTGGGGCGGGGCCAAATCGGTCGGGAACGCCCCCTTCACTTTTTTTTTCCGTCCCAACTTAGTCCAGGGAGTAGGAGGGAACCCAAAAATGGCTAACACAGTCTGCCCACGCGCACAATTTCAGAAGCTCAGTATGATTAACCGCTATGTAAAGAAGGAAGAGAGAAGTAATTTATCATTAAATAATCTGTATTTCAATATGAAAATACTTAGGTACTCAACACTGGCAGATATAATGAAGCAGACAGATGCTTACATCTGCTTACAGTGAAACATGGATAAGGAAAAACAATATTCAGGCTGGGCGCGGTGGCTCACACCTGTAATCCCAGCACTTTGGTAGGCCGAGGTGGGCAGATCACAAGGTCAGGAGTTTGAGACCAACCTGTCTAATACGGTGAAACCCCGTCTCTACTAAACTTAGAAAAATTAGCCAGGTGGTGGCGGGCACCTGTAGTCCCAGCTACTCGGGAGGCTGAGGCAGGAGATTCGCTTGAACCTGGGAGGCGGAGGTTGCAGTGAGCCGAGATCGCACCACTGCACTCCAGCCTGGGTGACAGAGCGAGACTCCATCTCAAAAAAAAAAAAAAAAAAAAAACCTAAGTACAGACGTACACACGCATATATATCCATTGTGAATGTAAAGCTACAAATGTTGCTATGGGTAATATGATTTTTGTTTTTTTAGTGAACTTGGTGAAGTTTCCAGTAAAAGTTCGATCTTTCTTCTGTTTTCATGGTTGTTGCATTCCTTGAAAATTCAGTGTCTATCAAAACCATGCCCTCCCCCAAACTGTTTTTATATGTAAAACAGAATGGATTTGAGATTCAGATAGTCAGAAACAGGTTTTCACCTACATAAATCCTGGTGGGACACTGAAAAACTGTGTTGTCTGAAAGTCATGCTGCAGACACAGGACAATGTTTTTGAGGGCAGGACCTTTATTTTTATTTTTTGAGATGGGGTCTCGCTCTGTCGCCTAGGCTGGAGTTCAGTGGCGTGAACCACCACTTCACCCAGGCTGGTCTTGAACTCCTGGGCTCAAGCAATTTGTCCGCTTTGACCTTCCAAAGTACTGAAATTACAGGCGTGAGCCCCTGAGTCTGGCCTTAAAAATATTTTTGAATGGGAAATAAATGACCTACAAAATTGCCACCATGCTCTTTTTATTCTGTGTATTCCTTTCCAGGCTTTGTCATTAGACAATGCTTCCTCCATTGTGTATGGGCACAGATTCATTTGGGAAATAAAAAATTTTAAGAGTATTTTGAGATGTTAAACATTTAGTGAGATGGGGGTAAAGCATTGTGTGGGAAAAGCTTGAGGGGTTTGGTGCAAAAATACAAGTAGAGGCCCTCACACCATCAGTCGAAATATTTCAGTGTTAGAAATCAAGCAAAGAGCCTGGTAAATAAAATATTTTCTATCCTCCTACCTTGAAAATTCTATCAAGGTGGAATTCAGAATTCTCAGACTGTCTCAGAGCTTCACAATGGAGAAGGGGAGCCAGCCGCCACGTCTGGCCTGACCCATTTTTCTTCTCACCAGCATCTCCATCCTGCACCATGAAGGCTGGGCACTTAGACATGTGGGCACCCACAGCCCCGCACATTCAGGTTCTGTTCACACCCCATACCCCATCCCTTCCACAGAGCAGCTACCAATTGGCCCCTCTGGGTCTAGAAGTGCAAATGGGGGCTGGGCGCGGTGGCTCACGCCTATAATCCCAGCACTTGGGGAGGCCAAGGTGGTCAGATCAGGAGGTCAAGAGATCCTGGCCAACATGGTGAAACCCCATCTCTACTAAAAATATAAAAAGTAGCTGGGCATAGTGATGTATGCCTATAGTTCCAGCTACTCAGGAGGCTGAGGCAGGAGAATCACTTGAACCTGGGAGGCGAAGGTTGCAGTGAACCGAGATCGCACCACTACACTCCAGCCTGGCGACAACGCGAGACTCTGTCTCAAAAAAAAAAAAAAAAGAAAAACCACTGCAGACGGGGAGCACAGTGCACCGTCCAGAGGGCAGACCCAGGGAAGAGTCCTGCAAAGCCCTAGAAGAAGGCCTGGGATGGTTCGGCAGGGAATTCCAGGGCCTCAGAATCCAGAGTGTGGGCCAGGTGTGGTGGCTCATGCCTGTAATCCCAGCACTTTGGGAGGCTGAAGTGGGAGGACTGCTTTTGCCCAGGAGTTTGACACCAGGCTAGGCAACATAGTGAGACCCTGTCTCTATAAAATAAATACAAAAATTAGCAAGGCCTGGTGGTACATGCCTGTGGTCCAGCTACTTGGGAAGCTGAGGAGGGAGGATCCCCTGAGCCCAGGAGGTTGAGACCACAGTGAGTCATGATTGTACCACTACACTCCAGCCTGACCAACTGAGACCTTGTCTGAAAAAAAACAAAAAACAAACAAAAAAAAAGGCCATGCGTGGTGGCTCATTCCTGTAATACCGGCACTTTGGGAGGCCGAGGCAGGCAGATCACAAGGTCAGGAGTCCAAGACCAGCCTGACCAACATGGCGAAACCCCATCTCTAAAAGATACAAAAATTAGCCAGGCGTGGTGGTACGCACCTGTAATCCTAGCTACTCAGGAGGCTGAGGTAGGAGAATCGTTTGAACCTGGGAATGAACCGAGATCGTGCCACGGCAATCCAGCCTGGGCGACAGAGTGAGACTCTGTCTCTAAAAACAAACAAACAAAGAACATGGAGTATGGTCTTAGAGGAGGGTGAGGATTTGGAGATTTGGATGGGCAACTCCCCCAGGCCTGGCAGATTTCTTGCCCAGGGGGAGGGGCATGGTGGAGGAGGCCAGATGGAGCTTCTCAAGCATGGGCCTAGGGCCAGGAGCCTACCAGGCCTAAGACTAAGGACAGTACTGGTGTGGAATTTACAAAAGATGATTAGAGGATATTCAGAGCTGAGAATCCTTTATCCCAAAGTATTATAGGACCTAGACATCTCTTCTGTTTTTATCTGTTAGGCTCTGTGGGCTGAGCCACCACAAATTGTCATGCATAATTTCAAAAGCAATGTCATGAGATCCCATAAAAATTTTTACAGCAAAGTAATATATCCCATGTGGAACACTGGGTGCATTTTAATATGTGTGATAGGATGTCGGAGGAGTGCCCGGGTCCACAAGGCTGTAGCGTAAATTGGCCCTTGTTTGAAGAGGAAGAAACATTCTCAGGCGTGCTTTAAGTACCCTGTTTCTGTAGAATTTTGTATTTAAGCTTATGGAATTTTAGTTTATAGGACTTGAATTCTGGTAGCCCCTTCCTTGGTTTGCTCTGAGCAGCTTTGTTAAAACAGAGAAGTAGGCCGGGCGCGGTGGCTCACGCCTGTAATCCCTGCACTTTGGGAGGCCGAGGCGGGCGGATCACGAGGTCAGGAGATCGAGACCATCCTGGCTAACACGGTGAAACCCCGTCTCTACTAAAATACAAAAAATTAGCCGGGCGCGGTGGCGGGCGCCTATAGTCCCAGCTACTCAGGAGGCTGAGGCAGGAGAATGGCGCGAACCCGGGAGACGGAGCTTGCAGTGAGCCGAGAAGGTGCCACTGCACTGCAGCCTGGGCGACAGAGTGAAGACTCCGCCTCAAAAAAAAAAAAAAAAAAACAGAGAAGTACAGCTCGGCGCAGTGGCTCACACCTGTTATCCCAGCACTTTGGAAGGCTGAGGTGGGCAGATCACCCGAGGTCAGAAGTTCGAGACCAGCATAACTTACAAGGTGAAATCTTGTCTCTACTAAAAATACAAAAATTAGCCTGGTGTGGTGGGGCACGCCTGTAATCCCAGCTACTCGGTAGGCTGAGGCAGGAGAATCGCTTGAACCCAGGAGGTGGAGTTTGCAGTGAACTGAGATTGCACCACTGCACTCTAAATGCTTTGTACATATCAACTCATTTAGTGCTCAAAACACTATAAAGCAAATACAATTACCCTCTTTTTTTTTTGAGACAGAGTCTCGCTCTGTTGCCCAGGCTAGAGTGCAGTGGTGCGATCTTGGCTCACTGCAACCTCCACCTCCCGAGTTCAAGCAATTCTCATGCTTCAGCCTCTGGAGTAGCCAGGACTACAGGCTGTGCCACCATGCCCGGCTAATTTTTGTATTTTTAGTATAGACAAGGTTTCACTATGTCGGCCAGGCTGGTCTCGAACTCCTGACCTCCGGTGATTCACCCACCCCGGCCTCCCGAAGTGCTAGAATTACAGGCATGAGCCACCACACCTAGCCCAATTACCCTCGTTTTAGAGATGAAGACACTGAGGCATAGAAAAGTCAGGTCAGGTCACTTGTCTAAGCTCATAGCTCATAGCTAGAAAGGACAGAATCAGAATTTGAACTCAGACAGCACAGCTCTAGTGTCTTGGCATTTAATGAACCAGCGAAAGAACAGAGGAGCTGTTCCCCAGGTCTCCTGTGCTTCGAGACCCTCACTGGAGGCAACTGCCTTCACCACGGACTTTTTCAGAGGTTAAAATTTCCAGCGTGGACGACATGGTGGAATCTCGTCTCTATAAAAAATACAAAAACTTAGCTGGGCATGGTGGCACATGCCTCTTGTCCCAGCTTCTTGGGAGGCAGGGCGGGAGGATCGCTTGAACCCGTGAGGTCCATGCTGCAGTGAGCCGTGTTCGTGCCATTTCACTCCAGCCTGGGTGACAGAGGGAGACCATGTTCCAAAAAAACCAAAATTTCCTTGCTGGTACTGACCCTCGCGCATAGTAGATACTCTGTAAACAATTTTTGTTTTCTTTTGGAGATGGATTCTTGCTCTGTAACCCAGGCTAGAGTGCAGTGGCACGATCTCTGCTCACTGCAACCTCCGCCTCCAGGGTTCAAGCGATTCTCCTCCCTTGGCTTCCTGAGTAGCTGGGATTACAGGTACCCTTCACACCCGGTTAATGTTTGTATTTTTAGTAGAGACGGGATTTTACCATATTGGCCAGGCTGGTCTCGAACTCCTGACCTTGTGATCTGCCCATCTCCGCCTCCCAAAGTGCTGGGATTACAAGTATGAGCCACTGTGCCCAGCTTTAATTTTTATTCTATATAAAACCATTTGTCTTTGTCCTCATTCTACTTTTCCTGTTTAAAATTTGTATTAAATTATACAAAAAATTTAGAATGTATAAGTGCACAGTTCAGTGGCATTAAGTACATTCACACTGTTGTGCAACCCTCGCTACTATCCATCTCCAAAACTTTTTCATTTTTTGAAACAGAAACTCTGCCCCGATTTCTTCACATCCTCCCCAACACTTGTTTTAATTATTCTACATTGTATTCATAAATCATAACATCACTTTATAGCCCATAAATTAAAAAATGGACAAAGGATTTGCATGTACATCTCTCCAAAGAAGATATACAAATGGCCAATAGGCCTATGACAAGGTGTTAAACATCACTAGGAAAACGCACATCAACACCACGAGACACCACTTCACGCACCTTAGGATGGGTACTATAAAAAAACAAAACAAGACCAGGCACGGTGGCTCACGCCTGTAATTCCAGCACTCTGGGAGGCCCAAGAGGGTGGATCACTTGAGGTCAGGAGTTCGAGACCAGCCTGGGCAACATGGTGAAACCCCATCTCTACAAAAATTCAAAAAAATTAGCTGGGCGTGGGCTGGGCACGGTCAGTCACACCTGCAATCCCAGCACTTTGGGAGGCCGAGGCGGGCGGATCACGAGGTCAAGAGATCAAGACCATCCTGGACAACATAGTGAAACCTCATCTCTACTAAAAATACAAAAATTAGTTGGGCTTGGTGGCACGCACCTGTAGTCCCAGCTACTCAGGAGGCTCAGGAGACTAGCTTGAACCCGGGAGGTAGAGGTTGCAGTGAGCCGAGATCACGCCATTGCACTCCAGCCTGGGCAACAGAGCGAGCCACTGTCTCAAACAAGAAAAAAAAAAAAAAATAGCACCTATAATCCCAACTACTTGGGAGGCTGAGGCAGGAGAATCACTTGAACCTGGGAGGCAGAGGCTGCTGTGAGCCAAGGTGGCACCACTGCTTTCCAGCCTGGGCGACAGAGCAAGACTTCATCTCAAAATAAATAAAATAAATTTTAAAGTATTATAAAATACATAGAAAAAACAAAACAAGTGAGCAAGTGCTGGGGAGGATGTGAAGAAATCATGTATCTGATAAGGGATTAATTTCCAGAATATACATTTTAAAAACTCAACAGCAAACAACCCAATTCAAAAACAGATAAAGGGATCCATACATATATAAATGTATATACATATTTTCATATATTTATATATTTTTCATATATTATTCTATAATATAGATAGATTTTTTTTTTTTTTTTTTTTGAGACAGAGTCTTGCTCTGTTGCCCAGGCTGGAGTGCAGTGGCACGATTTCGACTCACTGCAAGCTCCGCCTCCTGGGTTCCCGCCATTCTCCTGCCTCAGCCTCCTGAGTAGCTGGGACTACAGGCACCTGCCACCACGCTCGGCTAATTTTTTGTATTTTAGTAAAGACGGGGTTTCACCGTGTTAGCCAGGATGGTCTCCATCTTCTGACCTCGTGAGCCGCCTGCCTCAGCCTCCTAAAGTGCTGGGATTACAGGCATGAGCCACCGCGCCCGGCCCCAAAATATCTTTTTTTCACTGCAGGCCAGGTGCGGTGGCTCATGCCTGTAATCCCAGCAATTTGGGAGGCCAAGGTGGGTGGATCACTTGAGGTCAGGAGTTGGAGACCAGCCTGGGCAACATGGTGAAACCCTGCCTGTATTAAAAATACAAAAATTAGCCAGGCATAGTGGTGCGTACCTGTAGTCCCAGCTACTCGGGAGGCTGAGGCAGGAGAATTGCTTGAACCGGGGAAGTGGAGGTTGTAGTGAGCCAAGATCATACCA